CCTTTCAGTTCTTTTCTTTTTACAAGTGTTCTGTTTGCTGAAGTTCGCTTAATGTTCGTTATACCTAGATCATCACAATTCTTGGTAACTTGTTCCTCCACAACCTTCTTCCTATTGGTATGCTTACCACCGATGATTTCATTCGACGCAACATCAATATTCCGCGACTACGTGTTGAGGGAGACAAGGCGAAGGGGTCAACGACTGTCAGCACTCCAAAACGAGATAACGGCATCTTCTCGACACTGAGTCAACTCTTGAGTTTATCGACCGCAATGCAAGATGACGATGATTCGTATGAACCAACTGCGGAGGAAGTTGATGCTGAGCGTTTTACGTTAGAATGTATTGCGTCATGTCGGGCGGAGGAGATTTTTGTTGACAGCAGGTGGGCTAACGTCTAGTTCCTTTTTGAAAGAATGTATTGTTTCTTTTGTTCTCGTTATTAACTCTTTTAATTTGGAAACAGATACTTAGAAGAAGACGCGCTTCAAGTTCTGGTTGAAACAATATCCGCATCATCACTGGTTTCTGAACCTGGACGGAAACGACGCCAATCCTTACTGCGAAGTGAAGAATCACCGTCAGTTGCCTCATCAACGACCAACCTTACAGAACCTACCACTCTTGCGGAGAGTGGAACTGCAGTGTCAAGTTCGTCAATGTCTGATGCTGCAAGTGGTCAACCCGTCAGGTTTTCGGCTGCCGCGGCTTTCCATTTGGAACTTATGATGAGTGTTGCGACACATAATCGGGATCGGATGAATGTTGTGTGGCCTTTGGTGTTTAAGCATATCACTGCTATTTTGAAGGAGGCTTCGACGAAACCACCAGCGTTGGTTGAGAGAACAGTTGTTAATCTGATAAAGCTGATTATGCGATTGTCTCATAAGGTAATCATTGGGGAGACCTCTTTTTTTTTTTATTTTCGACTTTCCATAACTAACCTGTAATTATCGTTTCAATAGGAGGACATGTCGCAGCAAGTAACAGAGTCACTCGATATCCTTACGAGCCTTACACCGGAAATTCTTGCGGTTGTTTCGGAGCAACTCATGGCTGGTCTATTGATGTTGCTTAAAAAGGATCATACAATGGTGTTGAAATACGCAAAGTGGGATAGTCTTCTTCATCTTCTGTCAGCAACCGCTCTGCACCCGGAAGCCGCGCGGTATAGCTTTGAATGCGCAAATTTGTGGATCAATGATTCACCGG